AGGTATTTATTTTATTTTCCTTTGTAGGTTATCTGTTACTATTTTTGTTTTTTTTGGGTGCTCAATTTGTCCCAGATTTGCCCATGGGAGATGCTTTGAGCTGATGACTGTGTTCTTTTGACATGCTCTCATTATTTTCTGAGCACTTTTCTGCTTTCTGGCATCATACAGTGTTTCTGATTCATCTCCTGTCTCCCTTGTCCTATTTCTGGAAGTGGCTCTTTCTCAAAGGATTCCTGGTTTCTTTATATATTTTTTCTTTTTAGAGCATGTTATTTAGAAATGAAGATCATGCTTATTGCTTACTCAGTATCATTTCTTGTAAGCTTTCGTAGTAGACAGAGCTTGGAAATGTATGTACATTTATACAACTGTATGTATATCTATTTCTTCACTAGAACTATGGTTCTTATTATTTGACATTGTTATGAAGCTTAAGGTTTGTATGAGGCATCTGCATGGAGGTAGGAAGTAGGTAGAAGTCTGGGCGAGTCAGGGGAGGGTCAGTTTGTTGGTCAATTTACAGCTGCTGTTGAAAAGTGAAAACTGGCAAGGTCACCAAGAGAGGAAGTGCAGAGACAAGAAGTCAAGAGCTGAGTCTTGGAGCATTCCATTTTTGAGAAATCAGAGAGAAATTAGACTGAGATTGAGTAGCCATTAGATGAAATGAAATGGTATGGTGGAAACCAGTGAAGCAGCATTTCAAGGAGGAAGGAGAGACCCTGTGTGTCTGTTGCTGCGGATAGGTCAAGTAAGATGAAGACTGAGGATGGACCCACTCAGCTTACCAACATGGAGGTCATTAGCGACCTTGCGAGCAGTGTCAATGGTGCAGCCAGGGGAGCTGCCTGGAGTGGTTTAAATGAGAAGAGACGCATTGGAGGCGTTGAGTCAAGGTAACACTAGGGCTTTTTTTGTCAAGGAGAAGAGAGAGAAAGGGCAATAATTGAAGTGGGGACTATGGGATTAAGAGAGTCATTTTTAAGGTAAGAAAAATAATAGCATTTTTATAATGGGTAGAGGGGACTATAGTGATGTGGGAGAAAGGTAGGAGAATATATATTGTCTATAGGAAGTCTTGAAAGATTGGAGTCCTGATTTCATAAAACGTTTTGTTAAGAATTTTCTTTCTAACTAAAAAAATGGCTGTCCCGCCGGGCGCAGTGGCTCACGCCTGTAATCCCAGCACTTTGGGAGGCTGAGGCGGGTGGATCACGAGGTCAAGAGATCGAGACCATCCTGGTCAACATGGTGAAACCCCGTCTCTACTAAAAATACAAAAAATTAGCTGGGCGTGGTGGCTCGTGCTGTAATCCCAGCTACTCAGGAGGCTGAGGCAGGAGAATTGCCTGAACCCAGGAGGCGGAGGTTGTGGTGAGCCGAGATGGCGCCATTGCACTCCAGCCGGGGTAACAAGAGCAAAACTCCGTCTCAAAAAAACAAAAAAAAAACCAGGCTGTTCCAATGCAGTAGAAATTTTGAAAAGTACTGAAGAAGCCACGGAAAAGCAAATTACCTAATTCTTTTTGAAGTGTATGTGTACTTTAACCATGGCTAGCTTTTTGCTAGGTGATCTTTTAATTACTTATATTTGTGTGTTTGTGACTATATTTTTATTTTTATTGTTATTATTTTTCAAGATTTGGGTGGAATGACACTGTTTTTAAGCTACTTGCTTTATTTATCTGGAATGCTGGGAAGGGTAGTGGGAAGAGGGAATTAAGAGGGACAGTTAATGGGTACAAAAACACAGCTATAGAGTGGAGCAAGATCCGGCATTTAGAAGCACAATCAAGTGACTGCATTTAGCAGTAATTTATTATATATTTCAAAATCATTAGAGAAGATTTGGCAAGTTCCCAACACAAAAAAATGATAAATGTTTGAGGTGATGGGTCGTCCAGTTACCCTTGATTTGTTCATACACATGTGATATCAAAATATCACATGCACCTGATATATACGTAAAACAATTATGTATGCATAAAAATTAAAAAACAAACAGGAAAAATGTAATTTTGCTGGACATGAAATTCTTCTTCTTCTTTTTTTTTTTTTTTTTTTTTTTTTTTGCGATAGAGTCTCCTTCAGTTGCCTGGGCTGGAGTGCAGTGGCATGATCTTGGCTCACTGCAACCTCTACCTCCCAGATTCAAGCAATTCTCCTGCCTCAGCCTCCTGAGTAGCTGGGATTACAGGCATGTGCCACCATGCCCAGCTAATTTTTTGTGTGTTTTTAGTTGAGATGGAGTTTCACCAGGTTGGCCAGGCTGGTCTTGAACTCCTGACTTCAAGTGATCCATCGGCTTGGATCTCCCAAAGTGCTGGGATTACAGGTGTAAGCCACTGCGCCCAGCTTGGTTGTGAAATCCTGGTTGACAACTACGTTTTTTTCCTTCAATACTTTAAGCAGCTATCTCATTCATTGCCTTCTGGCCTCCATTGTTCCTGTTAAGTCAGCTGTTGAGCTCACTGTGGTTTCTTATAAGTGGTGAGTCATTTTCTTAGGTTGTTTTCTGGATTTTCTCATTATTTTGGCATTCAGTATTTTGACCATGATATGTCTGGGTATAAATCTCTTTGTATTTATCTTATTTGAAATTCGCTGAGCTTGGATTAGTGTAGATTAAAGTTTTTCATCACATTTGGGAACTTTTCAGCCATTATTTCCTTTAATACTTCTTTCTGTTTCTCTCCCTTCTTTCTGGTACTTTGATTTTGTGTGTGGATGCATGCTACCTGTTTTATTTAACAAAACATCGTGAACATTTTTGAAAATTTTAAGGTGCCGAACATGGTTTTAATGGCTGCATAGAATTCTATCATACATTCTGTAACTGATTCTTTGAGATTGGACATTTGTATCTTTATTGTAAACAACACCACAGAGAACCATCTGTTTCTGTCTTTGTGCACTTGTCCGATTGCATGTTTAGGTTGAATTCATAGAGTAGAATTGCAAGGTCTAACGATATGAACATATTAATATATTGATGCAGTTTCTCAAATTTCTCTTCAGAAAGAATGTTTGCATTTTAATTCACCAAGTAGGTGTGTGTTTTCATTTTCTCACCTTTATCAACATTGGGCATTTTTATTTTTAAAACTGCCAATCTTATATATGTTGCAATTCTTTCCTATCGTTCTAATTAGATTTGTTTTATTAGAGAAATTTCACTTTTCCTCTGTTTGTGGTCCCTTGTGTTTGCTCTCCTGTGAATGTCTCATTGTTACCATTCCCTTTTGTTTACCTTGGGCTGTCTGACTTCCTTGTTAATTTTGAAGAACTCCGGAGTAAGGATAATATTCCTCTTTTTCCCATGTCAGTTGCACATTTGTGGTATTTCAGTAGTCTTTTAATTTTAACATAACACAGCTTTTTTTTAATCTTCAGAATTAATTTCATAGCTTTTTTCTTTCTTTTTTTCATACCCTGCCTGTGGTACCCAGTAATTTCATAGCTTCCTATGCACAGAAAACCTTTCCCAGGCTGAGGCCAGCTGCTCGTTCACATGTATCATTCTGGACTTCCTTTAGTCTTACCTTTTTTTGCTTAGCTCATGAATCACCTTTTTAGATATGTGATATACCGTAGGAAACTAACTTTTTCCATGTATTTCACCACTTCTCTGAATTTATGCTATGTCAGATTCTTAAATATATTTGGGTCTGTTTCTGGCCTTGTGTTTGGTTTTGATCTATCTTTTCTTCGCTGCCAACACTGTTGTGATTATTATATTTTTAATGTGTTTTGATATCTGTTAATACAAGTCTCATCTTTGAATTCTTCTTCCTCCTCCTCTTCCTCTTCTTCCTCCCCCCCTTCTCCTCCTTCTTCTCCTCCTTCTTTCTTCTTCTTCTCCTTCTTCCTTCTTTCTTCTTTATTCTTCCTCTGTCACCCAAACTGGAGTGCAGTGGCACAACCATGGCTCAGTGCAGCCTTGACATCCCAGGCTCAAGTGATCCTCCTGCCTCAGTCTCCTGAGTAGCTGGGACTAAAAGTGTACTCAACCACACCTGGCTAATTAAAAATTTTTTTTTGCTGTAGAGATGAGGATCTCCCTGTATTGCCCAAGCTGGTCTTGAATGCCTGGGCTCAAGTGATCTTCCTGCCTCAGCCTCCCGAAGTATTGGGATTACAAGTGTGAGCCACTGTGCGTGGCCTGAATTCTTCTTTACCAAAATTTTCTGATTGCTTGTCACCCAATTATATGTATAGGTAAATGTTAAAATTATTTTGTCAGATTTCAATGGAAATTCACTTGTGGATTTGGATTATTGATTTTGCCATGTAATTTGGTAAAAATGGACATTTTGATAGTATTGGAGCTTCCCATCTAAGAATGTGCCCCACATTTCCATGTAAGAGTTATCTACGAAAACTCCTGTACTTCATGGCAAACACAACAAAATTAGCTGGTGTGGTGTGGTCCCAGCTACTTAGGAGTCTGAGGAAGGAGGGTGACTGAAGCCCAGGAGTTTGAGGCTGTAGTGAGCATGTTCGTAGTTTTGAGAGCTCTTGTGCATTTCCTAAGGAAGCAATTGAAATGAGGGAGATGATAGCACTGAGCACCCATGTGTATTCAGTAAATTGTGATTTCGCCCCCATCGTCTGCCCTTAGCAGAGCTAGTGGAGCGGACAGGCAGCCTTGGACTGTTCAGGTGAATCAACCAAGCTAGTTCCTTGCTTATCTCCTGTGTCTTGATTTCTTGCTTTTGATTTTATCCCTGCCTCTCTGAACTTGAGTGAAAGGAAAAGAAAAAATGGGAAGTTTTGAGCTTCATTTGGTTTACTTCTTACACGCACAACTTTTTTTTTTTTTTTTTTTATGTGAGTTGAGATTAAACCTAATGGCCGATGACCACAAGTAATAAAGATTGATTGCATTTTAAATGTCGTGTCTTACCTTGTCTCTCGTCATTTGTCCCGAGGAGCTGTCTCATAGTTCCTTTAATTGAATTCTGGCCTAATTGTTTGCATTATTTTTGTTCGTTTACTAGATTTGCTGTGGCTTTCACAGAGTCAATGAAGGAAATGGCACAAGCACAGTGGGTATGTATTTATCTGGTGGGACTGTTTTGGTTGTGCTGGTGAAATTGCAGAATTTGAGAACTGAAAGGCAGTCTTACTAGAGCTGACAGTGTTCCCATGGAAAATGCCCGTTGTGGCCACAGTAGTGTATTATGTTTCCTATAGGTTGATTTCGTATGTGTAGATGCTCCTAAAATGTCCTGGATAGTTTTTGATATTGTTATTGAATGACAGAAATAGCCCAGTAGCCAAATCTTTTGATGTGTTGTCTGTTTGTTTTTCTTTTTCTGGAGACAAGTCTTGCCCTCTCACCCAGTCTGGAGTGCAGTGGCGTGATCATGGCTCACTGTAACCTCCACTTCCCAGGTTCAGGTGATTCTCTTGCTTCAGCCTCCTGAGTAGCTGGGACTACAGACATGTGCCACCACGCCCAGCTATTTTTTTTGTATTTTAGTAGAGATAGGGTTCACCATGTTGATCAGGCTGGTTCGAACTACTGACCTCAAATGATCTGCCCGCCTCGGCCTCCCAAAGTGCTGGGATTACAGGTGTGAGCCACTGCGCCTTCTCAGTTTTTGGTTTTTTTTTTTTCGTTTTTTTTTTTTTTAAATGTTCTCCGATGGGGTGATTTCTCGGTTGCACTGTAAATGTTGCAGCAACCTTGTATACATAAAAGAAACTATCTGTTAGGTGGCAGAGGTCATTTCCTGGGTTGGACTGTTTATTAGAAGAGCTTTAAACAGTCAGGAGTTTGTAGATCAACAAGTTAATTCAGTTAGTGACTTTGTATTCACGGTGACTTAGATGGCAGGTATATGAGCCCGTGGGAACCTAGCTGAGTTCTCAGTAAGGAGCTATGTGAATGCACCATAGAGCTGCTTACCTGCAAAACCAAGAAAAAAGCTAAAGGTCAGTTTCCTCTGGTGGGCAAGGCTGCTGCCTCCGGTGGTGGGAACTGCTTTGAGCCTGCTCTACCAGCGTTGCTAGTGCTCGTCTTCCCCCAGCTCGTCCACTGTGCGCAGTGCGTATGCTCGGATCATTTGCAGGCGTTATTCCTGTTGGTTGGTTCAGGGAACGGGACTTATGCCCTGATCACGTGGCAGCCTCCGCCCATTCTTTATGGAATTGCAATTTGCAGAATGTTGGGGTTGGAAACTGCTGCACCAGGACAAGGGAGAACTCAGTCCTCCGTGGTGTCTTCCAAAAGCTCAGGATGCTAGACACATGTGACTGTGAAGCTGCACACGCGTTGGCTGCGCGGTCTTACCCTTTAAGTCAGACTTTTCCCAGGCAGAGCATGGAGGTTGTATTTGCTAGTGCAGCTTAATGACTTGTCAATCTCAGAATCAGAAAACTCAACAGGCATCCTGGCTTCTAGTTTTATTGTGGTACCTGTCTGCCTTTTTTTTTTTTTTTTTTTTTTGAGACAGTCTTACTCTGTCACCCAGACTGGAGTGCAGTGGTGCGATCTCGGCTCACTCTAACCTCTGCCCCTGGCTTCAAGCGATTCTCCTGCTTCAGCCTCCTGAGTAGCTGGGATTACAGGCAAGCACCGCCACGCCCAGCTACTTTTTGTATTTTTAGTAGACATGGGGTTTCACCATGTTGGCCAGGCTGGTCTCAAACACCTGACCTCAAGTGATCCACCCACCACGGCCTCCCAAAGTGCTGGGGCTACAGGCGTGAGCCACCTTGCCTGGCCTACCTGTTGGACTATCTGTCTGCCTTCTTAAGGTAGTTTTTCAAACAAGTGGTCACCAAAATTGGGTCCCTGGACCTCTGAGGTTCCCTGGGACTCTTTAAGGGCCTCCACCAAGTCAAGCCTTTTTCAAATAATAATGCAAAGGCTTTCTTTTGGCTTTCCTCATGGTATAAAATGCAATGATGAGTAAAAGTGCTGCTGCCTTAATACTAATGAAGGCAGTGGCCCCATCTGTGCTAATTGTCAGTGCTAATTATCTGTGTTAATATTCGCTGATTAGTCACTGCCACCCACTTAAGCCAGTTTCACTTAGAAATGTCCTTGATGAAGAAATACAAAGTATTAGCTTTTCAAATATTAACCTTTGAACACATGCTGTTGTTGTTTTTTTAGTAGAGACAGGGTTTTGGCTCGTTGGCCAGGCTGGTCTTGAACTCCTGACCTCCAGTGATCTGTCCTCCTCGGCCTCCCAAAGTGCTAGAATGACAAGCATGAGCCACTGTATGTCGCCACATTTTTTTTTTCTTTTCTTTTTTTGGAGACTGAGTTTTGCTCTTGTTGCCCAGGCTGGGGTGCAATGGTGTGATCTCGGCTCACCAGGCCCTCCGCCTCCCGGGTTCCAGCGATGCTCCCGCAGCATCCCAGGTAGCTGGGATTACAGGCATATGCCACCATGCCCGGCTAATTTTCTATATTTAGTAGAGATGGGGTTTCTCCATGTTGGCCGGGCTGGTCTCAAACTCCTGACCTCAGGTGATCCGCCCACCTCGGCCTCCCAAAGTGCTAGGATTACAGGCGTGGGCCACGGCACCTGGCCATCAAATTTGAATTTGACATTTCCCAGAAGCTAAGGGTGCAGGTCATGTCTCTATTTGGTCAAGGTCAAATTTCCTACAACACACTCACTATATTCCAAAATAGTATCTAAACAGGTCATCAATATGAAAGTTACTAGTAACATACTTTACATTTTTTTGTATGAAGTCTTTGAAATCCAGTGTGTATTTGACACTCACGGCACATCTGAATTCAAACCAGCTGCCTTGCACGGGCTCTAGATCAGCCGTGTGTAGGGGCGGGGAGGGGGAAGGTCGGGGGCGGGGGCGGGCGTGGAGGTCTGTCATGTTGTTCAGGACAGCTCTGTTTCAGGATTTCTGAAACACTCACTCACACGGCATCTGATCGTGGACGGCAGGTGAACAGACATGTGCCAAATGAGGGTTAGTTTGTAACCCGTGAGTGAACCTCAGCCCCTGGGTGCTTTTATGCAAACGTTGTGTTGGGAGCTGGCTTTGTGATTGCCTATCTATCTCTGGCTGACCCTTCATGAATTCGTTTGATTGGATTTCAATAAAATGGTTGTATTTTATCTCTTTTAATTTGAAATGCCTTTGTTTATTCTCAAGTCATTATTTTTTAGTGGTGTTTGTACCAGGCTTAATTTGACATTGTATCTACTTTGTAAAACGTACAACCCCGGTAGGCTCCCACCAGGTCATCATGCTACGCTGTTAGCGCCTGGCACTCATGATCAATGTGGGTCATGTTTTGGGATGGCATTACTGTGTTGGTTTGTGATATTACAGTATGTCTTTTAAGTGTCTTTTTTATTTCTTTGGTAAAGGTGTCTCACTGTGTTGCCCAGGCTGGATGGAGTGCAGTGACATGCTCATGGCTCACTGCAGCCTCAAACTCCTGGGCTCAAGCGATCCTCTTCCCTCAGCCTCCCAAGTAGCTGAGACCATGGGCCCATGCCACCGCACCTGGCTGAAATCTTTAGTTTTTATTTTTGTAGAGATGAGGTCTCACTATGTTGCCCAGGCTGCTCTTGAACCCCTGGCCTCAAGTAGTTCTCCTGCTTCAGCCTCCTAAAATGTCAGGATTACAGGCATGAGCCTCTGTGCTGGCCGCTTTCTGATATTATAATATCGATTTGACATTTTCAAGAATTTGATTCGTTGCACATTTCCGATCGTGAGCTACATACACATTGTGGAAAGTTTGAAAATGTCTTCTGTAGGATTTTGATTTATTGTTACAATACGTAAGAGATATTCAGAATGCAAATGAGTACTTCTAGTCCTAGTCCAAGTTTAGGGTGCTGTGTCTAAAGCAGAATCACCAGAAAATGTAAAAATTTCACCAAAAAGAAAAAAAAAAAAAACGATGAGCAAATTAAATGCATATCCTAATGGAAAGTTTTACCGGGAGAAGCAGTGATTATGGTTTAATACGTCTCCATTGGGTTCAAAACTCCTGATGCCTGTTTCACACTCTTTTCCTAATAAGTTTTCTTCTAAGAGGACATTATCTAAACTGAAATATTTATTTATAAGCTATATTTTAAAAATTCTGTTTGAGTAAATATTACTTGAAGCAGTTATCAAATTAAAAAAAAAAAAAGCACAATGCCAGTCATAATGGCACGTCAGTAAGCTTTACAAGGATTGAGCTAAGTTTTCAAGTGTTATCTTTATCGTGAGGTTTTTGTTTTTGTTTTTGTTTTTTCCTGGAAACTTTGAGTCACCACCTCAGGGGCCTGACTTACCCACGTTGCCTTGACACTGGTTAAAGGAAAGTAACTTGCTGAAGCTGTTGTATGAGGGAGTACCTAAAGCGTAATTTTACTTTGTGTACATTTACTCATCAAAATTCTTTTGGAAATTAAAATATAGAAAGCAAGACAGATCTCACTGGCTGTCACACGTGCAGTCCTGCACAGGTGAGCTCAAAAGTCAGTTGGGATGCTAGTGCTGGCCTAATTGGAATGGGCTGCTTGCCGACTCGCCCCTGGAGTCTGTGGTAGGAGCATGTTGTCTTTGAGATACTCATGACTCCTCCGTCTTCCCACGTGGCCCACTGCTCTGTGTCTGATTACCTCTGAAAGTCATCGTGGCAGCTGCTGAAACTACACAGACCACATCTTTTGTTACAGTTTCCACCCTTCTGGAAAAATAAAAACGCGCTCAGCACACGGTTTCACCTCTAGACTGCCTCGTGTATGTGCTAACCCCCTTACCTCTGCAGGAGAGGCTCCAGGGATTGATCATGTCCCAGGAAGCCAATCATTTTTAATGGCTTCTATGAAAGTGAGCCTTCATTGGAGATTTCCTGATGTCACGGCAAATGCCCTTTATGTCTGCTTTGTTTCTTTGTTTGTTTGTTTGTTTGTTTTATCCCATGTGAGATCCCTGGGAATTGAGGAGTTTTAAAGGAACTTAAACGTTTGAAAAACGCCTCCATTCCACAGCAGAGATCTTGAGTTTACCTTTTCCATGACCTAGGGCTCAAATGTGAGGCGCCCTCACAAGTATTCTTT